GCCGCCCGAGTCCACCCGTCCGCTCCCCGCGACGCGAGCCGTCCCGTTCCCCGCCGGGAGGCGTACCTCGGGCGGCCGCGGGGTGCCGGCTGGTCGGGGCGCGGAGACCCTGGCGAGTCACCGCCGTGTCACCTTCGTGCGTTCCGGCGGAGCGGGAGGAGGGCCGCCTCTGGATCTAGGGAGGGGGGTTTACAGCGGCTTGCATCACTGTACGACCACATAAGCCGCCTGAGCAAACTGCAGAGGAAACTAGGACTCTTTCCCAAGATATCTGTCTACGTCTGCACTTATTCTGAGGCACTTCCCCTCCTCGGTGGAGAAAGCACATCATGCAAATCTGAGGTTACAAAGGAAATCTGTTGCGACTCCCTTTATCTCACACAGATGCCGTCGGAGGACAAGTCTTGCTTCTGCACCAATGTGTTTCAGTCTCTTTGGTTTTTAAGTCCATAAAGTCTCAAGCGGTTTTGAAACAGGTATTAGCCCTTAGCATGCGGACTTCACACGCTTGCAAGTTGCCGATAAACATTGTGCCTGCCTTGGGGGAAGCTAGTTTCGGATTGAAAACGTGTTGTGTGCATCTAGTTCTTTATAACAACAATACCAAGGAATATATGCCTGGTGTCTGGTAGGAAGTCGTCAAATTATCTTCCCTCTGTTTGTACCTAAGTAGCTTCAGGGAAGGAATTTAGGTTCCTCTCAGGGAAATGCAACCAGAAACTGGCTAGTGGTCAAATAGATAGCTCCTAATTTACCAGCTGTAAATCGTTTCCCAGGTGTGTATTAATTGCAAATAAATAAAGCAGCAATGGCCATTACTCACTACTAACTGCAGCCCCAAAGTGTGGTGCTTTTCAGAAGGTAAGTGCTGCTTTTGGTGGCTGTAGAGTGCTTCATGCAATAAAGGTTACTGTAATGGCAAACACTGGGTAGCAATAGGACAACTAAGGCCATGAAAAGCAAAATTTGGAATGAATAATTAACCAATTTTTTTTATAACTTGTAGATTTTGGCAATGTTAACTGGTATCTACGTGCCTTGATTTTCTGCTCATAATGCTGACTAATAAAGCATTAGGGCAATCAGCCCTAATGTGGGCTCAGTGTGCTCAAGTTTTAGTACTAGACTGTGGGGGGGAAGACACCCATGCTAAAGCCACAAAAAAACCCCAAACCCCCAACCGTAACCAAGCCCAAGACTCTAAAATGTTTGCTTAGCTGTCTGCATGCCTGTTGCTACTTTTGGAGGAAAATAAAATTAAAAAAAAAAAGCATAATGCATGTCTGTAGGGAATGCTTTAATTTTGAGGTCAAAGCCACATCTTTCACCTTCATCTGAAATAATAACCCTAAAAATACTGTTTATTTTACTAATAACCATGGATTTTGACTGTTCTACCTGCAGGGAGCAGTGTATTTCACTGACATGTTAAGACAAGCAACCACTACATGTGCTACTGAAATGTATCTTCTTTCTTTAAATTTGTTGAAAGAAACTTAGGGAACTGATTCAGAAGAATTAAAACAAGCAGAATTCAGCAACTTAGTAAACCCTCCTTTTTCTGACAGACAGAGAAAAGTACGTTTTTGGCATCTACTGCTTTGAAGTAAGAAATAAATATCCCTGTTTACAGACACTCTGACTGAATTGCAACCAGACAGCAATATTATATCATCCCCTTTCAAATTCCTCTTTTGTTACATGGTGTTCAGTATGTGTGTGCAGTTATATTTACCTAAACTTGTATCCCAGAGATTGATCCAAATTTGATTTAAAAACCTAGGTCTAGCTGATTTCTATATATGACAACTGTAATTCTGCCATTCCCCTTGGTACTTTATTTGAATAGTTGGTTCTTACAGGAAAAAAAAATCTTTCTAAACTTAATTGGCTTCTGGTTCTGGTCACCCGTTTCTGTACATTTTCCTGACAGCCATTTTGTAACAAATAGTTCCTTCCTGTGAAGTCCAATCAAATTGCCTTTCCGTCTTTTTCAACTGAAATAAACAATTTCAGCCCTTTAAGTTTTTAGCTCTGAATAATTTTCTTCAGCTTCAACATATTCCTTTATAGGTAGGAATAGGAGATATTCATTATTTTGAGTATCTCTTTTCTTTGCTCCAAATGACTTTTAACACTTTTTTAAAATTTGGACATCAAAGCTTTATTCAGGAGAGTTGCCCATTTGGGTGATACTGCTTGCATTTCTTGTTCCCAGGCACCTAACTTTTCATTTCACTGCAAAAATAAATAAATATATATATATTAAAAAAAACAGTGCTGTAATAATGATTTATCCTTCAGCCATTTTTTCCTCATGTTTAAATTTACATTCAGATCACTAGTGAAACATTAAATAATATTGTACTTGGTACCAAAATTTGTGTGAAAGCACCAAAACCAATGCCAGTCAGCCAATATTGTTTTGTATTAACTGCTGGCACTAATATTTTTCACCTATTGACGTTCTGTATGAAACTATCAAGGAGGAGGACTTGGTCTTTCCTGTCAACACTTGAGATAATAAAATTCAATTACATCATTTAGCACATGAAATGAGTTTTCTTCTCTTGGTTTCATTTCTCCTGGCATTTTAATATCTCCAATCATAAAGGAATTGGAACTGCTTTTAGAGCAATGGCTTAGATAAATTATTTTATTTTTTTTTAGTCTGAACTTTCTCCATAGACTATCATATCCATAAGGTACTGAAAGTGTTAAACAATTCAGATGTTTCATTTATGTTAATTCAGGTGATCTGTAAATAAAATATCTTAACATAGTAATGGTAACTCAAATAAGCAAACACTTTTAGAACTTTTGCTAATGTATTCATTCATATTGGTCTCTTAATGCTTAGATGGTATTGCTAATAACATTAAAAAAAATATTTTTTGAGAATTTATTGAAGTGGGCCGTGGCAGTGTATTAAATATTGTTTCTACTTTGGGGAAGTATGTAGTTCTTGTTCTTTCATTGGTTTCATTTCTTCTCCTGAGTTTTGACTTTGAGATAATATATGTAAGTTAAGATCCTTTCTTCTCTTAAAACCAGAAATTAAAGATGCAAAAAACCCCAGAGGAACAATTCCCTTTACTCCAACATAACTTCAAACCTTGCAATTATTTTCTTCACTGTAGCTAATGAGGCCAGGATTTAGGAAGGTAGTAACTTGATACAGCATCTATTATTTGTGGCTAACAACATGAAATATAATTCCGAGAGCTTTCCTGAATCATTGTCTAGCTTCTTGCTGTTGTAAACAAGCCACTTCATTGTGTAATCTGACTCAGTCATTTCTTGATGGATCGCAGAATGATATGAGGTTGGAAGGGACCTCTGGAGATCATCTAATCTAACCTCCTGCCAAAGCAGGTCCACCTAGAGCAGGTTGCACTAGAATGTGTCCAGGTGGGTTTTGAATGTCTCCAGAGACAGACTCCACCACCTCTCTGGGCAGACTGTTCCAGTGCTCTGCTACCCTCAAAGTAAAGAAGTCCCTCATGTTTAGATGGAACTTCTTATATTCAAGTTTGTGCCTGTTCCCTCTTGTCTTGTCACTGGGCACCACTGAAAAAAGACTGGCCCCATCCTCCTGACACCCACCCTTTAAGTATTTATAAGCTTTGATCAGATCCCCCCTCAGTCTTCTCTTCTCCAGACTAAAAAGACCCAAGTCCTTCAGCCTTTCCTCATAAGGGAGATGCTCCAGGCCCCTCATCATCTTTGTGGCCCTCTGCTGTACAGCAGTTCCCTGTCCTTCTGGAACTGGGGAGCCCAGAACTTCCAAATGAAACCAAATACAGCTTACCTACACAACGTAAGGAAAATGCAATCTTGTTTTTCATTATTTAGGAAAAAAAGTTGGTGTTGGCAGTTGTCTAATTTTAATGGCATTATTCATTTTAGTGGCAGTAATCTGTCAGATTTTACTCATTGACGGCTTGTCTTTTGAAATGGATCCATCTAGCCTCTTTTGGCATTACACTGTCATCCCGAAACGTTCCAGTGATTCAAACCGTGACTGGGACCCGTCACAGATTCTTAGAAGATGAAATACGACCAGAATTGTTTGAGTGGACAGCACAACACTTGAAGTAGCTACAGGCAGCCTCATCACACTTTAACTCGGAAGTGTAACTGGGATGAAACGCTTCTCCCTGGGATCACTGGACCGGGAGCTGTTTTAGCGGCAAGCCTTGCGGACCTCCTCCTCAGCCAGCCTTCCAGAGCTGGGCCTAGCAGCCGGCCCTCCTCCCGCCGCCTCGGGGCAGGGCTTCAGGGCGGCTCCGCTCTGACCTGGCCGCCGGCTGGGGCGGCGCTGCCGGGCCTCTGAGGAGCGGGCGTGGGCCTCGCGCGCGCCGGCCGTTAACGGCCGCGAGGACCGGTAACTGTCCGCCTGAGGAGAGAGGTCCAGGAGCAGGGAGACCTCCAGCGTGGAGGGGGTGCCCCGCTGTCCTGAAGGGTGGGGGGTCCTGGGGAAGCATAGGTAGAGCTGGGGAGGGACAGATCCCTTTTGGACAAGGCAGAATCAGCCTCAGCAGCCCAAGGCCAACCTTACGTGCCCTTGGCACCTCTGAGAGCACCCGGGCTGGGAGTCCAGCCCTGCCCAGGGTGGCCCAGGACAGCCGGAGACGGCCCGGAGCTTGGGCCCTCTCTCTCCAGCCCTGATCGGTGTTCTCACTGTGCTGTGGGGCTCTGCCCCTCTCCAGTGAGGAAGAGACCTCCTTTGCAGAGGAGCTCGCAGAGGTACTGGTTACAGGGTTTACACATTTTTCTACATGTGCATTTTCCCGTCACACAAGGTAACCCCTTACCAAATATGACGTTGTACTTTTTATCAGGCAATGATGACAAGCAACACACAAAAAGCTGATGAAAACAGAAGTAAACGTAAAAAAGAGATGGAGGTGAGCAGTACTGCATGATCCTCAGGGAGGGAGGACCTGGACCTTTCTTCTGGACCCAGGGGAGCGATGCAGCCCCCTGCCCCCATGTGCTTCTCTGTCATTGCTATGGGTTCCTGTCAAGGAGAGAGGGCAGAGAGGTCCATGGCTGTTTAGGTAGTTTAGGGGAAACATGACTTGCTTGTGTAAGGAGACTGTAAAATTTCTCTTAGTGTTTGAAGACCAACAAAATTGCATATGCATTGCAACAAAGTTATGTAGGACTTCTTGAGAGTGAACTGCTGAAGTACACCAGCTTTTACTGATACAACCCAAGATCTCAACTGCTACTTCCCACCCACTCCCCTAGTATTGCGATGCTATGTGTGTTGACAATTAATGGTGATGCTGTGAAGCCAACAACACTTTCTCTGAAAACAGTCTCTCATGATCTTTTTAAAACTCTTTTTTTTTTTTTCAATTAAACTCTATCTGTGCTAAGCTTGTTTTTGTGCTCTGTTATTAGAATGAAGCTTCAGAAAATCCTCAGTTGTCTTCCCTTGACAAAACAGATTTTTCTGAGGGCTCGCAGTCCCATTACAAACCTGAACCACTGGAAAAAGCTTTAAACGGTGATGTATTAAATATACTGAAAGTAACTATGCAATTACCTAATTTGATGTTGAGATGGCAATTCATTCAAATGTTTAAATAATTACTGTTTTCTTTTAACAGAGATGAACAAAGAAATTATGAACTTGTTATCAAAATATGCTCACATTTTAAGGCAAGTTAACTTTGTCCTATTTCTATGGCACTTTCCTAACTTCTCTAGAAAAGATGATTGCTGTGGCTGCAGTTTAAAGAAATTAACGCTGAAAACTATCAAACACAGACCTTGAAATAACAACGCTGTTTTCTGTTACGGCAGAGAAATAATTTGGTCAGAAACTCAGTATTGATAGACAACACATTTTTAAGAAAAGCATAAAACCATTTCTAAGTAGTGAGAAAGTTAATGGCATCAGTATTGATTTTAACTACAGATTTTTTCAATTAAGTGAGAGAGCAGCGATGGATGCTTCTTATGTCCAAGAACTTGATGGAATCTTAAAAGAAGCAAGGACCATAGAAAACCACTTAAAACAGAAAAGGGAAAGTCTGAAACAGAGATTCACTGTGATCGCAAATAGTCTGCAAAGCTAAATGAAGTTTGTTAAATTGCAGAAATGCAGAGCAAAACTTGTAGTATATTTTATGTGCTAAAATATAAACTATGATGAGTACTGTGATGAATGTTTCATAAACATCTTATGTAAATATTTCCAGCAGTTCAGGAAACTTTCAACAACTTAAGCAGCAATTTATTTTTTAAATAAATAGATAGGGTAGTAGTAGTGTGATAGTTCGTAAAAAAACAATATTAAATATCTGATTTAAATTCTTTGACTCCAAGGGATTCTACGCATTAAGACATCTTTTTTTAGTTGTTGACCCATTGCTTAAGCTGTCCCTGTGCTTCCATCCCTAGAAAATATTGGAAGCATTTGAAAAAGAAAGTAGAATGAATTTTGCATTGCTTGGCTTTAAGGCTATGGAAGTTCAATATAACTGAATTCAGAAGCAGCTGTGGTATTTCTAATGTCACTGCTAAGGATGTTTTTTTTCTTCTATTGTTACAACAAATGTTTCACTCTAGAATATAGTATAGAAACATTTCTATGAAACAGAATTTTGCAGTGTAAGTGGAAAAGGACCTTACATTATTTCATATTAATAACTTTGGTTTTTTCTTTCTACTTTAGAAAATGTTTTGGTGCTAAAATCTTAGTAGAATGTACTTGCTATCTTATTTCCATTTTGTCTCAGAATATAAATAGATTGAAAAGATCAGCTTAGAAATAGGAGAGTTGTATTAAGATTACTACTTTGGGAAATGTATAAAGAGGTATAAAGTCTTAATTTGAAAATATTTTTTAATACTTCTACAGCTTTTCAAATTAAACCAAGGCCATTTTTATATAAACATAATCAAAACTTTGCTGGTAATGTCAATAAAAACTAGATAATGTTAACATAATCTAGAATTACACTGCTCTCTTATTTTGTTATTTAGATACATCAGTATTGTTTGGTGTATATCCAGTTTATTTAAGGATGCTTATGGAATTTTTTGAGCACTTTTTCTTTCTTGTTATTTGACTCTGTTAAAAAAGGATGAAACGTAAAATGTGCAAAGCATCATTTGTGCAAATTGGGAGGCTGATGCAATAAAGAAAAATCCTAGGTAGTCCAGTTGCTAGCATAAGATATATTTATATCTTTACCCGAGTACTGTGTATTAATTTTCTCTTTGAATACTTTCAGACTTAATCAATCCTTTCCCCCTTTTGTTAGATAAAGGTCACAAGCAAAGGTGCTACCTCTCAAACTGGTACAAACTGGCAAAGCAAATAATGAAAGAAACTGAACATCTAGGATGAGATTTTCCAAGGTATTTAGATACCTAAAGATGGAGATATGTACTTAGTAGGATTTTCAAAGTGCCTAAGCATGTAAGCGCCTTACATGCTTAGGAATTTTTTAAAATCCCATAAGGTGCCTATCTGCATCTTTAGCATCTAAAGACTTCCAAAAATCTCACCTCTAGCCTATGTCGTATTTTACCAGTCTCTTCCTTTTTTCTAAGAATCCTATCTCATTTTGTAATCAGTCTCGGTAATGATGTTTCAATACAAGAAAGGAGAAAAAGAGAAGATTTCGGAAGTTAAATTTTCTAGAGTATTGTGCCAAGAGTTTCAAAAATCTATGACCATCTATAAAGATGACAAAAAGAAGAGTTTTAAATTGTCATCTATGAAGTGTCTTTATTTAGAAATGTATCTATTTGTGTAAGCCTTTAAAGAAAAATCACACATCTTTCACTAACTGTGTAATACCTGCCTGTTTAAGAAATCAGAAGCTTGCTGCATTTATCTGTTTGTGCTTAGGAAAATTATGTAACCTTTTTAGATCGCCTGGATTTAGATCATCTAGATTTTATGTGGCTAATATAGCCAAGTTGCAAACGTTTGGCTCTAGTATTATTATTAAGAAGTAGAACTTAGAAAACTATTGGATCACATAATCTAAATTTCTTCCCTTAGAGAATCAAGAGGGCACAGAGCCATAGTGTTACTGTTGCAGAAGTTTACTCCATTTAAAAACTTCATAAAATACAATATAAAATAGTAAACCTATACTTGGAAAACTGAAGAACTGCTTTGTCTGGCATTCAAGTGCAGTTAAATGCAAGATACACCTCTCTAACTGATGAGTTGCTTTTCTACAGTGATTTCTTATGCAGTTGATTGCCATTAGATGTTATAATTTAGAGTGGGATCTCTGTGGTAGTAAGGGGATTTTAGAATTTGAAAAGTGATTGGAAGTAAAGTCAGTAAGTACGCCATAGTAACCTAGCTGAGATTATGAAGTGTATCTACACTTATCAAAGGGAAGTCATTCAAAGCTTCATAAGAATTTGAAATAGGCTTTTTAAAAAATAGTTTTTAAATTGCTAAGAGCAACAAATCTTCTGGTTTTGCTGCACAAATCTATGTGAGCATATATTAAAAAATAAACACTGACCAAGTAAAAGGAATAAATATGTAGTAAAGTTTCAGCTTGAAATGCTAAGTTCAGAAAGTTTAAAACATTGATTGAAAATAAACTAGTCCTGTCTCTTTTGAAAGTAAAAAATACTTAAGCAATGGAAATGCCCACTTATTTATGGACGAAAGCAGCCAGTCTCTTCCTGTATAAAAGGGAACCTTCTGTAATTACTTTGCCAGCTCAAAATATTGAGCGTTTTCCTGTTGGCTGTCCCTTGGGTGTTCCACTTAATATCTTTATATATAAGACTACTCATTACACACTGTTTTTCTTCTAAACCATTAGAAAATAAAATTTTACTGGTTTCCTAATTGTCTATAATTTTTCTACCCTGCTAATGATGTTTCTGCACTGCTTGCCTCTATTGTGTATTTCAGTATTTATTGGGAGAAACAAACCAAATCTTTTAGTCTCTTCTTTTGATGTGAAATGAAAAGCTCGTTCATTCTGTCCCTGAGGAATGAGCTACACATGAAATTCAACTGGCACCCATCCCATCACTATCCGCTTGCCAGTTTTACCGAAGGAGGTTTGAACAGAAAATTAATTGGCTTTAAAGCTGCCAAATCTGATCAGCAAAGCTCAGCTGGTAACTACGTTTTCTTTAAGCTTCTCCTCCTGTTGTTTAAGCTGCAGTGTCTTAGTAAATTAACGAGTATGTCTAAGATGACAGATCAGTAACAGAATATAAATGGATTTTTTTTTTTTAAATGTGGAAACATCTTAGACAAACTTCCAACCCTTTTCAAGTCAAGGGGATTTTTGGCTGAGTTATTCGCATTTCTAAACTTGCTGTGAGTAACCTTCACAGTCTGGGAAGTAAGTGATGAAAAACCCATACTTGGTTCCTCTCATTGCTCTTTTATTATCTAAAACCTTAAAATGGAAAATAACAGATAATGCAGAGACAGCTCAGGTATTCAGCAAAGAGACTTACTCTCCGAGAAAAGGCTAGTTGTGACTGTTTACTGAAAATGAAACTGCCTTTTAGAATATTTGTAGGAATGTGGATCGTAATAGAAAAAGGTAATAGATGTATTTAAGGCTAATTAAGTTCTGTCTAGAAGTAATCAGAACTCAGTTTTGCTAATTGTAGAATCTTTGTTTTGTTTTTGAATTGTCTTTGAAAACCTGATGATGAAGGCAGCACCGGAAAAGAGCAGAGTGGGTGTTTTACATCATCAGAGTGAATAGCCCGAAAAAAGGAGGGCAAAGAATCAGATCAATCAGCCTGTCTCCCATCCCAAAGAGAGTCTGAAGTTAATTTCTTAACAATGACTTTATAAGCAACTGGGGAACAATAAATTGAAAAAAAAACTAACACCAAACCCTTTATCAAATCCAATGTGGAAAAATTGTAAGTTGGGTATAGCTTGATGTAAGATAATTGACACTATCCTGCATGATATTATATAAAAACGAGAGCATTCAGGAAGCAGGGGCTACATGAATGAGTTAAAAAGTCAATGAAAGGAATACTCATTTTCTTCTGAAAGGTCAGCCTAGATAGCATCTGCAGGGATCTGCTTCAAGCCTTGCTTATTCCATATTATCCAGCATGATTTAGAATGTTAGAGAACACAGTTCCTTTTTCAAATGGCAGCAAGCTAGGAGGGGTCACGAATGCTATCAGTAAAATATATTGAAAATTCCCTATAATCTCAGTAAGATGAAGGGCCAATCTGAAATCAAGATAAAGGTCAAAGATAGGTAAGGGAAAAGTGCTATGCTTAGCAAGGGGACTCATGGATGTTACTTACAAACCAGAATAAGAGCTGGAATTGTCATGATGTTATTGGATGGTGGAAAAAAACTGAGATGTGCTAGTTATAGGAGAGCAGATAAGACATAAAAACATAGTTGTTCTCCTGTTTTCTGTGTAAGTTTGGTCTTAGCTGGAGGATAGGTTTGCATATTAACAACAAAGTGGGCAGGGTGTGAAACAGGAATAATAAAGGGCAAAGAAAACATGATCTGTGAGGAAAGGTTGAAGCAGTGGAGCTTGTTTAATTTAGAGAAAGCACAAAGCAAGGGAAGGCGTGATAACAGATAAGTTATAGAAAGGACAGTAGTCAGGTGTTCACCGTGTCTTGTGGAAAGGCCAAGAAGAAATCAGCTTAATTTACAGCAGAAGATTTAGGATGAGTAATAATCTGTCCCATGTTAAGGACAGTGGAATGGACTACCTAGAGTACTGTGTATGCTGCCTTGCTCTCTCTCAAGGGATAGGGCAGCTTTTAAGAGCTGTTTAAGAAACAAACAGATCCATTACAGTGCACTTGCAAAGTGCTTCCTCTCAGCATCCTGAAGGAAAGGGTCCTTCAAAGGTCCATCTTAGTTTGAAACAGCAGAGCACAGCCTGTCACTGGTACTTCCCTGTCTGATTTGATGGTCTAATCTGGTGTGGCAACCGATATTCCTAGAGCCTTGATATTCTTTGAGGTGCAAAATGGTCACTCAGATTTTGAAACAAAATGACAGGTGAAAAAGACAAGACAAGGTGACGAGAATTTTTAAAAGAATTGCCTTGAAGCCTGGCTACACAGGTACATCTC